ACCCTAAACCCTAAACCCTTAGGTGAGGGCCTTCTACCTCTGGCTCTACTTGGCAGCCCGGACCTCGGTCTTGAGGATCCCATGAGATGCCTGGGGAGGATACCTTGAGGGTTTAGGGTTTAGGGTTTAGGGTTTAGGGTTTAGGGTTCGGGGTTCGGGGTTTAGGGTTTAGGGTTTAGGGTTTAGGGTTAGGGTGTAGGCATTAGGGTTTCGGGTTTAGGGTGCAGTCCCAGAGCCCTGAAAAGATCCCAAAACTAGATCCCTTAAGGGGGTTTGGGAAATAAGCGTCAGGGTTCCTTTAAGGGTTCTTAGGTTGTTCCTTTAACAGGGTTCCGTTGAACAGGGCCCCTGAGTAGTATAGGGTAAACCCTAAACCCGAACCTAAACTTCCCGTTCTACTTTCCAGATCCTCCCCGGGTCTTTGGGCAAGCACCGAACGGAGGAGGACGAACACATTAGGGCAATCATTGGGGCCTAGCGTTTTGGGTTCAGGGGTTAGGACCTTTGGTGTTGTTCTTGTTGTTTAGGATGTTTAGGGCTTTCGGAAGAAATGAACGTTTCTCTCAGGGTCCAAAGCTTGTAGTGGTTTTAAAAAAGGGTCAGTCTATGATTCCGTTTAAGAGCTCTGTGAAGGGATCTATACTGTGCCAAACGGACACTGGGGTTTGGTGTGTTAGTAGGCTCATTATCCTTTGAGGACAGCAGGTTTCTTGTAGGGATTATGGTCTCAGGGTTGAAAGTGTTCAGGCTCTTAGATTCGTAGAAGCCAGAAAGTTGGAACATTGTTGTCCTGGGGCCCTTCAGGCAAAGTATAAGGATCCTAGCGCTCATCATCCTAAAACCATGTTCCAACTTTCTGGGCTTCACCGTAGAGTGTTCATGTAGCGGCCTTAATAGTTACCTATACTATTTGGAGGCTTCCTTATTATAATTATAGTATCATATACCCCCCAACCCTATTCTAAATTATTCAGGCCGCTATATTAGCGTTCAGGGCTTTGAGGTGCAGTGCATCATGCCGTCCCAGACTCCTAGTTCCACGAGTGGGGTTCAGGGTTCGGGGTTTAGGGTCGAGTGGATACCCTATGACAGAAGTGGGCATGGTGCAAGGATGGGAAAGCGCAGGGAAGCCCGTGCTTAGTCATTCCCGCGTGGTACGTATCCGTTTCGAATGTTCGCTGGAGGTCTGCAGCCTTCTTCACTCAGACCAGTCAGCCGCATTCATAAGGGGTATAGGTTCATGTTGTGTAGGGTTCAAGAGCTTTTCGGCGCTAAGGATTCAGCATTGAGCGTGTGGGAGTTGCTGGCTCCAGTGATCAGTTTCAATAGCTTGTGATTTCTCCACTTCGTAGCTGAGTAAGTAACCTTCAACATACCCTGTGTAAGAACTTCAACCCTGCTAAAAAGTTATCCGATGTCGTGGGATAGACCCTAAAGCCTAAAGCCCTAAAGCCCTTGACCTTCAACCCTGAATCCCTTGATCCCTAAAACCTAAAACCCTAAGTCCCGAAATCCCTAAATCCCTTAATTTTTGAGTCTAAATCATAGACTGTGTTGTTTTTGGTAGGTGAGCCGGAGCTCTAAAGTCCTGCTTCAGTTGCCCTAAGGGTCCATGTGCCCATGTAGGGTTTAGGATTTAGGACTCATATAGTATATGCTTTGACACTACTGTACCATTCTAAGTTTTTTTGTTGAGGAGTACTTTTGGGCCCTCGTTCCGGGAATGCTGGGTGCGTGCTAACCTACCCCTTGCGGCAACCGTTGCTGCCAGTGGAAGTGTGGTAGCTCATGACTGTAGCCTAGGTTCCAACACTTAAACCTCAGGCTCGTCGTTGTCGTAGTAGCAGTAGCACTGGTGGTGGTGGTGGTGGTAGTAGTAGTGGTGGTGGTGGTGCTAGCAGCAGTACATGTGCATGTAACTGCATTATAACAGGTTGTTTAAGTCTTTTACCTCTGCCTCTATTTATACCCTGAGACCTTGACCCTAAAGACTGCAGGCTAGGGTCGACAGTGCATTACAAGAACAGTGACAACCCAGACTCAGGAGCACTTGTACCGTAACTGCGGCATTGCAAGTGAAATCCTAAACCCTCCCAATCCCCAGACCCTAAACCCCAAAACGATACAACTGTGAAAACCCAGACTCAGGAACATCATGCTTCCGATTGCGCGTGGTTCGTCAAGGCCGGGCGGCGAAGTCCACGATGTCACAGAAGAGTCGTGACATTTGCATCAGTGTTCATGTATGTTCATCTGGCATCCTGTGCATTCTCTAGCAGCCTGTACGCCGGCGATCCGATGTGGTTTGGTCCGAGGCCCTCAATCTCCGTCTTATCCCGCTTGATCTGTCGCGCCATGGCCGACCAGGACATCGCACACTGCTGGCTGGGAAGTTTCTCCCTGGCCTTGGAAGCCCGTGAAAACGAAGGGCTCTCAAAGCTTTTTGCTGAGACTTGCGCGTGGCGAGATCTGCTGTCGTTTACATGGGACATCCAGACTACGGAAGGCAAGAGGCCCATCCTCGAGATGGTGTCATCCGTTCTGGACCGTGTGAAGCCACACAGCTGGGTCCTCACAGGAGTGACCGATGCAGATGGGATCATCACCGCGCAGTTCGTGTTCCAGACGGCCTGCGCAAGCTGCATCGGGCAGGTGAAGCTTCGCAACGGCCTCTGCTGGACCTTGCTGACCGCTGCCCAAGCACTCCATGGGCACGAAGAAAAGCGAGGGCTCTCCAGGGAACTAGGTGGGCATCCGAAGGCCATGCGGCGGCGCGCATTGCAGCCAGCGTGCGCAGAGCCTGACCCCTTTGTCGTGATCGTCGGGGGCAGCCAATGTGGGGTGACTTTGGGGGCCCGGTTGAAGCAGCTCGGAGTGCCCAGCATTGTCCCTTAGTGGCTGAGTGAGTGCACTTTACACTTTTGGGGAATAATAAATATTACCACAGATCTAGACTTGAAAGAGGTTGACAGTTTGAACTGTTTTGGGCTTATGAACTCAGCAACTAAGGTCCTGGAGCAGAACGACCGACCAGGGGATGCTTGGCGCCATCGCTACGACTCCTTGCGCCTGCATTTCCAAGTCTCGTACTGTGAGTTCCCTTACCTGCCCTTCCCAGATCACTGGCCGAAGTACCTCACGAAGGACCAGATGGCAGACTGGATCGATACTTATGCAAGCCTGATGAATGTTGATTTGTGGACCCGCTCCCGCTGCGTGAAAGCGGAATGGGACGAGGCGAAGAGCAGTTGGACCGTGCATGTTCAGAAGGACGGCACACGTGTGGAGCTGCAGCCACGGCACCTGGTCATCGCAACAGGCCTGAATGGCACTGCCCACACTCCGAAACTCCAGAATCAGAAGACATTTGCAGGAGTCACCATGCACTCCTCGCAGTATGTCTCAGGCGCATCCCAAGAAGGCAAGAAGGTCGTTGTCGTGGGATCCGGCACTTCAGCCCATGACATCTGCCAGGACTTGTGGGAGCACGGTGCGGATGTGACCATGATTCAGCGCAGCCCCACACCAATCACCAAAGTCAGCACCCATCAGCGGGTTTGCTTGCAGCGGCTCTACTCAGAAGAAGCAAGAGCCGGTGGGATGAGTACGGAGGCGGCTGACTTGGAGTTTATGTCAACGCCTTACCGACTTCTCTTGGAGAAACAGCGCAGAGCCAGCTTCGAGCTCAGGGAGCAAGATGCGGATCTGCTCCAGCGACTGGAGAAGGTGGGCTTTCTCTTGGATTCAACTTCCACGAACCTTTGTCATAGTTGGGTAACACTTTAAATGTGTATGGCTACTTCGTGGCTACTTACACCCATTCAGATATAGAAATGTAGATGTTAAATTCAAAAACTATTCAAACCATGAAATAGGAACACCTCGAACTATTTGTCGACTGGGTCGGGTACGTACTTGGACGTCGGTGCTTCCGAGCTCATTGCAGATGGGTTGATCCAGCTCAAGACTGGCAGTGCCGTAGCCTTTAGCGACTCTGCAGTGGTCACCGACGATGGAATCCATCTTAGTGCCGACACAGTAGTCTTTGCCACCGGCTATGCGCCGCTGTCGAAGCTCATCGCAGAGCTTCTGGGGAAAGATACGGCGGCACGCCTTGGCAGGATATGGGGCCTGGGTACGGGCATTGCCGGAGATGAAGGACCCTGGGAGGGAGAGCTGCGGAACCTTGGTTCCCCAATACCCAACTTCTCGGTTCTTATATTTTAGCAATTCCACCCGTATAACCTTTTATTTCAACTTGTTGGGTTCTTATAACTTAGTAGTCTAAAAGTTTAACCTTTTGTTTCCCTGGCTTATTGGAGAAGTAAGGAACATGTGGAAGAGAACCAACGTGGAAGGCCTCTGGCTGCACGGCGGCAATCTTCTGCAAAATCGCATCTACTCGCTCTTCCTGGCCTTGCAACTCCAGGCCCGCTATGCTAACATCCCTACGCCCGTCTACGACGCGCGCCACAAGGGCTTTGAGTTCCTGGGGGCTTGAGACCTTGAGGGTTTAGGGTTGAGGGTTTAGGGTTTAGGGTTTAGGGTTTCCTTTAGCCCTGGCTGGGCCCAGTTATCTGAGGATCCTTGAACAGCGCAGTGTACAGTTGTAAAGAGCACTTGCGGATCTTCTACTGCTGAGCCCGACTGTACAGCCTGGTGTTCCAGGAAGACTGCACACCCAGAGTGCAGAAGATCTTGATCTTTTGGTTCCAGCTCGCCTCTTGGCGACGCATGACCTCAATAGCCGCGCACATCGCGCACAAAGTGGTGGACTTGCTGATCTATGCTTGCTGCTCCTCCATCTGCTTGCAGGTGCTTTCTAAACGCTAAACCCGAAGCCCCCAGAACTGAGCCCCTCAGTTCTGTATGCGTCTGTGCTATGGATATCTGGTGCTATTCCAGGCGCGCCTATGGCGGGACTACTCCGGTCGGGTCTTTCCACCCTGGTCCCACCGAGTCATTGCATGAGAAGTCATTTGGTTCCGGTCTTAGCTATAGTCTCCATTGTTATTTCTTTCTGTGGTTTAACCAGTTTTGTATTAATTAAAAGGTAACCCCCAAAAAGAACTACCATGGAGACTATAGGTAGCTC